ATTAATTCTTATTTGGAAATTGAATCTTATTAAAGAGGAGAAATTTCTTATTCAAGTGTGAGTTGGGGGGGCAGAGAAAAGGCAGGGATTCACCTGAGCTCTTCCAAATTCTCCTCCAAACAACTTAAATAATGCCTCAAAACAAATTCTAGAGCATCAGAACCCACAAAAGGACAGGGTGAAACAATTTTCCAGCCCAAGACAACTCAGAAGGTCAGCAAGAAAAGTCTGTCACACCAGAATGAGAGTGGAGCTGTGTCAGCATAGACTGTGCCCCAGCCAATAAACAGCAGGTCTTGTGGGGGGGGGTAACTGAATCAGCTACAACAACAGCAGCTTCCAGAGTTCTCAGTACATAGACAGTAAGGGGTCAGACAACTGGTTAGAAGAAGAATACACGGTTCTCTTTGCTGGCACTGAGTGTAGTACTCTGTTGCAATGCCCATACTTGGGTCCAGGCTGCAGTCCTGGGTCATATTTTGAGGGCAAGGAGAAACACTAGAACACAAGAACTTGCAGCTACAGAGGAGTGGGGGACTGTGGTCACAGTTCCACAATGGAAAAGAGTGTTTATGGTCACTCACAGATCACAGCACAGGCCAGAAGAGTGGTAAACACACCTCTCCTTAGATCATACTACCTTGGAAGAACTAAAAACTTACACACACCCCCAGAACTAGCTCTGAAAACAGCTGCACAAAAACCTGAAGTTTGGCACAGTGGTCCCTCCACCACAGAAGCAGAGTTCAACTTTAACATATAAAGTTAAAAGTCAAGAAAGGCTAGAAAAATGAGCAAACCACAAAAAAAGAACTTGATTACAGAAAGTTACTATGGTGACAGGGAAGATCAAAACACAACCTTAAAAGAAGATAACAAAGTTAAAACTGCTGTATCCAAAACATTAAAGAAAAATGTGAATTGGTCTCAGGCCCCCCAAAAAAATTCCCGGGAGAGCTCAGAAAGGATTTTAAAACTCAAATAAGAGAGGTTGAAGAAAAATTGGGAAAAGAAGTGAGAATGATGCAAGAAAAATTATGAAAAAAGTATCAACAGCTTGGTAAAGGAGGCACAAAAAAAAATTAAAGAAATAACATCTTTAAATAAAAAACAGACCAAATGGTAAAAGAGGCACAAAAATCCACTGAAGAGAAGAACACCTAAAAAAAAAAACAACAGAATTGGCCAAATGGAAAAAGATATACAAAAATTCACTGAAAAGAAAAAGCAGAATTGGCTACATGGAAAAAGAGGTGGGGGGAAATCACTGAAGAAAAGAACTCCTTCAAAAGCAGAATTGGCCAAATGGAAATGGAGGTACAAAAGCTTACTGAAGACAATAATTTCTTAAAAATTAAGTGGAAGCTAATGACTTCATTAGATATCAAGAAACAATCAAACAAAATCAAAAGAATGAAAAAAATAGAAGAAAATGTGAATATCTCATTGGAAAAACAACTGACCTAGAAAACAGATTCAGGAGAGATAATTTAAGAATTATTGGAATACCTGAAGGACAGACATGATCAAAAAAGAGCCTAGACATCATCTATTAAGAAATCATTAAGGGAAACTGCCCATAGATTCTAGAATCAGATATATCACCTCCTAAAAGAGATCTCAAAATGAAAACTCCCAAGAATAGTATAGTCAAATTCCAGAGCTCCCAGGTCAAGGAGAAAATATTGCAAGCAGCCAGAAAGAAACGATTCAAATATCATGGACCCACAGTCAGGCTAATACAAGATCTACATTAAAAGTATGGAGGGTTTAGAATATGATATTCCAGAGGACAAAGGAGCTAGGGTTACAACCAAGATTCGCCTACCCAGAAAAACTGAGTATAATCCTTAAGGGGGAAAAAAATGGATATTTAATGAAATAGATGATGAGGGATTGGGTAAAAGGAGAGAGAGAAAGGGTGAAAGGAGAGAGACAGGGAAAGGGACAAACAAGGGGAAAAATAGGAAGAAGGAAAATACACAGTAATCATAACTGTAAAAATATTTTTATACTAAGTTTTTCTGATAAAGGCCTCATTTCTCAAATACATAGAGAACTGGGTCAAATTTATAAAAATAAGAGCCATTCCCCAATTGATAAATGGTCAAAGGATATGAACAGGCAGTTTTCAAACAAAGTAATCAAAGCTATCTATAGTCATATGAGAAAATGCTCTAAATCACAATTGATTAGAGAAATGTTAATTTAAGAAAACCTCAAAGGTAACATCCCACACCTATCAGATTGGCTAATATGACAGAAAAAGAAAATGACAAATGTTGGAGGGGATGTGGGAAAATTAAGATACTAAGGTCCTGTTGATGGAGTTATGAATTGATTCTACCATTCTGGAGAACAATTTGGAATTGTGCCCAAAGGGCTATAATACCATACATATCCTTTGACCCAGCAATACCACTACTAGGTCTCTATTCCAAGGAGATAAAAAACAAAAAGGAAAAGGACCTATAAGTACAAAAATATTTATAGCAGCTCTTTTGCTGGTGGCAAAGAATTGGAAATTGAGAGGATGCCCATCCCCTCATTGAGAATGGCAGAACAAGTTGTGTCATATGACTGTGATGGAATACTATTGTGCTATAAGAAAAGACGAGCAGGATGCTCTCAGAAAAACCTGCAAAGACTTACATGAACTGATGCAAAGTGAAATGAGGAGAACCAGATCACTGTACACAGTAACAGTAATATTGTACAATGATCAAATGTGAATGGCTTAGCTATTCCTTTCCCTCTCCAGATTGATCCTTCCCCTGTAACAAAAACAAGTGAAAACAGAAACAATGTGTATTTCTGAAAACATATACAACACTGTGTTCTGTCTCCTGTTTCTCTACCATGAGGAAGGAAGTATTTTTCATTATCTTTTCTCCAGGTCCATCAATGTTTTTCCATTTACTCGGAGTCCAACTTCTTTTTAGTTATATTTTCACTTGTAAAAGTCATTGTTTCACTTGTTGTAGTCATTGTGTATTTATACCATACAATATTATTCTATTCCATTCATATGCCACAGTTTTTTCAGCCCAATCAATTGGCACACAACTTTGTTTCCAGTTCTTTGCTGTCACAGAATGCTGCTATGAATATAGTAGACATTTATTTTTGCCTATGATTTACTTAGAGTATATGCCCTATAATGGAGTTACTAGTTAAAGGATATAGACAGTTTTGACTTTCCTTGAATATTCTAAATTGAAATCCAGGATGGCTGTCTCAATAAAATTTCACCAAGAGCGTGCTTGTGTTGGTGTACTTGTGTTCCTGCAGCATCTCTGACACTTACTGCTTCTATTTTTTTGTCATCTTTGCCAATTTTCAAGGAATGAAGAGAAACCTGAGCTGTTTTCATTTCCATCTCTTCTGTAATTGGTGATATGGTACTTATTTTCAGGTAATCATTTGCAGCTCTTTTGAAAACTGTTCATATCCTTTGACCATTTATCTACTAGGAAATGGCTCTTAGGGAAAGGTTATATTTTTGTGTCAATTCCCTATACGTTTTGGATATCTGACTTTTATTGATGACACTTGATTTAAATATCTTCCCCTCTCTATAGTCTCTTTTCTTATTCCATCTTTATTAATTTTTATTCATGTAAAACCTCAAAAATTTTTAGAAAGAGAAAAATGGTAATGCTATAAATCAAGAATGCTTCAGAAAACACAATAAATCCAATAAATAAACAAATTTGAGAAGGGCATTTTTCTAGGGTGTTTAGCATTATGTGAGTTATCATTTCAATGACTCACTGAATCTCCAAAGTGAAAGAGACCTAGTAGGCTATCAAGTCCCATTCACATTTCTATAAGAATCTCTCAGGTAGAACAATAGGAGGGCATTTAGTTTTTGCTTACAGACCTCTGACCTCTGGTAAGACTTGGAAAACCTCTAGCTCCCTGAACAATGTTTTCCACTTTCATAGAGCTCTAGTGGGAAATTCTTTAGATCAAACAAAAATCTTGGCAACTTCCACCCATTATTTCTAGTTCTGCCCTCTGGCCCCAAGCAGAATAAATTTAAGAGCCCATTAGAATATGACTGTATTAAGCACAGTGATTAAATATGAAAAAGAAAAAAAGTTGAGATTACAAGCAGCTCTCTAGAAAAATGTGTACAAAGAATACACTTTTAAGTTTAATCTGCATTACTAACATCTTCTCCATCACTTTTTTAAGTCTAGACCAGGGGTCTGCAAACAGTGGGTCAAATCTAGCCAGCTTCCAGTCTTTGTACAACCTATGGACTACAAATGATTTTTTTAAACACAATAAAACTGTATTTAAATTTTAAATACACAGGCCAGATGTGGCTAGGTGGCTATAGTTTGATGACTTCTCCTCTAGACAATTAACTAAACAATCAGTTAACAATAAAAGAATCAACCTACAAAACAAGAAACTGTATTTTTGCTGATTTCCATGTATAAACTGGACACACTGAAAATTTAATAATCAGCTTTCTCTACCCACTCAAACTGGCTCTAGCATACTCCTAAATGAAAAATGGGATAGAAAGATTGTTCCTTCCAAGTGGCCTCATCCAAGACTTGTCAAATGTGAAAGCTATACTTGCTCATTAGGATCCTTTAGCCTTTCCTCCTTCTATAATTCTGACAAGTTCCAGGCTTGTAGGAAACTCTGACTTCTATGTTTGGAAAGGTCCCAGTGATGCAAAGAACAAGCACATACTTAGAGTAAGAGGTGGTTGGTAGCTGGGGTTAAGTATGGGTTTCATTCAAAATTTTTGGAATAGTCTTCCTTCTCTTGGCGAGATGCAAATTAGCAAAACAACAGTCAATAGGTCAACATGCAGTGAAAATTTACTGTATTAAGCACTAGCTCCTACAGTAATCAGTTTATCCCTTCTCGATTTCAGTGTACATACAGCAGATATTCAGAACAGAAACTGAGGAAGAAGTATAATTAGGTGCATGTCTAAATATCTGTTTCTAACAATGGAGACGTTCGTTGCTTACCACAGAAAAGATGTCCACAGTTTGTTTCAACAGGAAGAGAAGCCTGATGTAAGCAGATTGGACAGGACATGTCCGTGTAGAACTGCTGCCGGACAACAGCGGGCACATCCTGCTGGGAAGAAGAAAACCACGCCGTTAGAGTTCTCCCAGAGGTTTCTATTCAATGTTACTTAAGTTTACTCAGAAACACTTAATCACAACCGCTTGGGCACAATAACTTTTGTTTATATAGCTGTGCAAATACGGATCTGATAAAACTCCCAAACTATATCCTCCCCACTTTTTATTATTATTATTATTTTTTCTTGAAGAGGCGGTTGGAGTTAAGTGACTTGCCCAGAGTCACAAAGTTAGGAAATATTCTGTGTCTGAGGCCAGATTTGAACTCAAGTCCTCCTGACTCCAGGGCCAGTGCTTTATCCACTGCACCCCCTAGCGGCCCCTCCCCACTTTTTAAAAACCCATATTTTCAGAGAATCAAGTAATTTTAAAATAGGAGAATGTCTAATCCATATTGTATAAGAATCCCCAATACAACATACCAAACATTCCTGCTTACAGACCTCTAATGAGGGGGAAGGAACTTACTCCCTCTTGAGGAAGTTTATTTTACTTTTGGCCAGTTCTAACTGTTAAGACATTTTTCTTAATATCAAGACTAAATTTATCTCTTTTCAACTTCAACCCATTGCTCCTGGCTATTCACTAAGTCTAATCCCTCTTGCACGAGAGCCTTTCAAACACTTGAAGTCAGCTACAATGTTCCACCTGAGTTCCTTTCTCCAGATTAAACATCCCTAGAATCTCCAACTAGCCCTCTTATGATAGAAACTTGAAGTCCTTTGCCATTTTGGTTACTCTCCTCTAGATGGCAACCTCTTCCACCCTTCCCTCCTAAAGAAGTTTAAAATAGAAAAATGAATGAATTTAGGATTTTTTTTTTTACTCACTTGAAATAAATCTTTCATCTCATTGGGCATATGACTATTTGTAGGCTATTCCAGCACTAATAGAAGGATACTATAAATTTCTTTTCAGTTAGATCCTTAAATTTAAAAGTTTTATCACATCCTTTTCACAAGTGCTAAATGTCTAGTATATTACATAGCAAGTCAAAATTAAAATTTATAATATTGGGTCATTTTTAGAATTAGAATAACAAAGACCAAAAAAATTTTAGCATTAGAAACTTAAATATAATTCTTCCCTCACATACTAAAAATAAGAAATTTTCATCTATTTATAGCCCTATCACTATATATAACATGGGTAGGACCTCTAATATGAACAAATGCAGGAATATCAGCACAAGAGACATCCACAATTAACAGTTAACTCTGATGGTCAAAGCTGATTTGGTGCGACATCTAGAATAAAGCCAGCAACTAAAATATTTGCTATTAAGAACTAAGTATCAGGGCAGCTAGGTGGCAAAATGGATACAGTACAGCCCAGGAGTCAGGAGGACCTGAGTTAAAATCTGGCCTCAGACACCTGACATTTACTAGCTGTGTGACCCTGGGCAAGTCACTTAACCCCAACTGCCTCACACACACACACAAAAAAGAATATAAAGAACTAGGTATCTGGACCAACTCAAAATTTAATGGTAAAGTGAACCAAATTTTAAAAATATATCAGGTTGAATCAGAATTGAATTTATATATACAGTACATTGCTAAAGTAAAATACCAAAACATTCTCTAGCCCAAACCAATGGGAGGCATTGTGGTGCACTGGAATGAGTGTGGCACGGCAGCCAGATGATCTGGATTCTGTTTCTCGCTCTATGGCTTATTTATTATCTGAGTGACTTTGGGCAAATCACTAAACCTCTCTGGGACTTTCTCCTTATCTGTAAAAGAAGGGGGCTGGACTCGACCTCTGAAGTCTCCCAGAGATATGAACTGATGATCCAATGATCGAGTGTTTCATTTGACTCAAATTCCTGGAAAAAGTGTCTATTGCAGCACTTTGCCATCATGATTATCTGGAGTAAGATAACATCAGAGCTTTAATTTGGAGGGGGAAGGGAAAATGGGGAAGAAGAAGGAATAGAGTACAGATACCATATACTTCATCATGACAAACATAGACATGTTTACCGCCTTCTTTCCTTGATTCTTTCCGTACCATAATAAAATAAATAAAAACCCACCCACCATGTGTCCCTTCCTTATCATTCCAATGCTAAACATGCAATGACAACATCAAGGGTCGAATGCTTAAAACGATATTCTACCACACTCAAAGACTCATTAGAAAGTAATTATTTTACTTCACTTAACTAAATATCATGAAAGGCAAAAGTCTTATTTAAGCCAAAGTTAAAAAAAAAAGTCAATGAAATACGAATGAATGAAAAAAGAACCATGGGTCCATTCTTGAAACCTATGCCCCACATAACAGTTACAAGCTATGGAATATGCTTCCTTTAAAGTCAAGAGGAACCTAACTTTTATGGGGCAAATTGTTAGTTTAGTTTAGTTTAGACACTAAGTTTGCAGCAGCAGTGACAACAGATCAGCTCTTTAGCCTAGCCGTTTCTGCACATTCGGACATTCATTCATCAGCTCTTTACCCTCGCCAGTATAGTTGGACATTTTATTACCTGATCTGTCTGAAGTTGTTCCCGAAGCACCCGCACTAGCTCTTGGTTATCAGGGTGAATGTTTTGTTCTGCATTTCTGTTGATAAGAATATAAACTTCTATTAGCATCAATTATGGCTACAAGAATTAGTTTTTCTATACTTAAATTTAATCTGAGAACTGTGATGAAACTGCAAAAATATACAAAACAGTATTTGATTTCAGTCCAATTCTAGGTTCAAGCAGAAAAGGATAGTTCAGCCTATTACTGTGGTGAAGCTTGTGCTATCAAGTCACTTTACTGACATATTTCTGGTACAACTGGCTAATGATAAAACTTAGAACAGGGGTCTTGGTGCATGCTCATAGAAGCATGAAAGTTCGATACAGCAATAATCTTGAATAATATAATATATATTAGAATTACTTCCTATTGTGAAATTTTCTCATGATAAAATCTGAATGATAAAAATTTACATATTGTTAGACATTTAAAACACTTTTTCATATCTAATTTAACTGTTCTTCAGGTTCTCACCTATAGATAAAAGAGAAAAATTTAAATTGCTTATTCCAGAAGAAGGAAAATATCATGGACTATAACTATAATCACATTAACAAAAATGAAAGAAATAAAAGCTAAGAAATTACTGGTTTGAAGCCAGGAAAAGGGAACCTGGGAAGCTTCACTTAGCTTATGGGTTAATTTCATAAGACCAGGGTCAGGTTCCTAAAATTAAATGTCTTTAGTGAAAATCCACAAGATTTCATTGTTACTTCACAAAAAAGGTATCTCTCCCCATAGGTAAGTTCATATATAATAGTGGTCAAAACACAAATTCGGAATTCTGACTGGAACAGTGACATTAGGCAATTATTCAATTTTAGAAAAGGGAACTATGATAAAATGTTGGCATTTGTTTAAAAAAGAAACAAAAGGCAGACATAAAATCAATAACCTACGGAAATTTTAGAGGTTATTTAAAAACACTTTATTATAAACTCAAGATAAATGGGTTGAAAACAGTTTGATCTTCTTTTTAAATCTTTTTAGAGGCTGTCCACATTGCTGCTTCCATTTCCTTTCCTCCACCACCTTCTTAACTCAGCAGGCTGGCTTCACACGTTATAATTCAACTAAAAGTGCTCTCTCCAAAGTTAACTCTTAATTGCCAAATTGAATGGTCTTTTCTTAATCTTCCTTCTCCTTGTCCCCTGTAGTCTTTGACAGTGTCAGTCATACTCTCTCTAGGTTTTTATGGCACTGGTCTCTCCTAGTTCTCTTCCTTTCTGACAGATCCTTCTCAATCTCCTTTGCTGGTTCTTCATCCAGATCTTTACTGTTAGTTATAGGTGTCTTTCTTGGACCTTCTTCTCTTCTTCCTCTTTACTAATTCTCTTGGTAATCTCATCAGCTATCATGGATTTAACTATCATCTCCAGGCAGGCAATTCTCGGATTTATCCAGCCCTAATCTCTCTTCTAACTCTAGTCTCTCAACAACTGCCTATTGGACATCTCAATCTGGATGTCCTGCAGGTGTCTTAAACTCAACATGGTCAAAACTGAACTCATTATCTTCCCCTCTTCCCTCCCACTCCTGCTCCTCTTCCCTATTACTGAAGAGGGTACCATCATCTTCCCAGTCACCCAAACTGGCATCTTACCTAGCTGGCATTCTCAACTCCTCACTCTCTCTCACCCATCATATACAATAGTTGTTGATTTATTGATTCTACCTTTGTAAAATCTCTTGTATATATGCCTCCTCTATCATTGCCACCACCCTGGTACAGCATAACTTCCAGTCTGGAGTATTCCAGTAGCTGCCTGCTTGGTTTCCCAGTCTCAAGGCTCTACCCCTCAACCTACCCCCAACTCAGCTGTCAAAATGATAATCCTAAAGCACAAATCTGACCATGTTACAGTGCCATGCCCTCCCAACTCCAGTGGCTGCCTATTGCCTCCAAGGTCTAGAAAGCCTTCAATTCTAGCCCCTTCCTGCCTTTCCAGTCTTCCTATACCTTGCCCCTTTCTCCCTTACCACGTCCTCTACAATCTGGCCTTGTTGTTTTCATACTAGACACTCCACCTCTAGATTCTAGTGATTCTCTCTCTCTCTCTCTCTCTCTCTCTCTCTCTCTCTCTCTCTCTTGCTCCCCTTCAAGTTTTAGCTTAAGTCCCACCTTCTGCAATCATCCACAAACACAGTATCTGAAGGATCTCACCAGTTACACAAAGCCTTCTTCCATTTGGTTGGTGTTGGACATGCTCCATAAAAGTGGCAAAAGTCTTTTCCCAAGAATACATCTCCCTCTTTTATGCACTGATTATGTTAACAGTCAGAAAATTTAACAAAGTTACCTCTGCTGTTGTTTATATTTCAGAGAACTCTTGTATTATTTTTGACACATGCATGGGAAATGTCTTGTCCAGCAACTTGTAGCAACCCATAGTGAATGGACATTATTCTTCCTATTAATTTCTATCACATTCTTATGGATCATGGATGTCACATTTTTAGCAGTTATATTTACCATAAAGATTTTTCTTCAGCTTGTTTTTCTTCTAATTTTACATATAAATTATTTTTGCTGCACAAAACCCTCTATTCTTCTTCTATAATTTTTTTCATTTTTTCAAGGAAATGGAAAATTTCCTCTTCTCCCCAACTGCAATAAAGATCATTCTTTCCCATAACATGTTATAGACAGTGTGGCATATTGGAAAAACCACTGAGGAGAGAGTCATGAAATACCTGCGTTCAAGTCCTAGCTTCAACTTTTACTAGCTATATGACCAAGGGCAAGTCACTTACTATCTCTGATACTCATTGTATTTATTTGTATTATTAGGACAGTAATGCTTGCATTACCTTTGTTGGAAAATTGATGAAAGCACTCTGTAAAACTTAGAAGTGCTATACAAATGTTATTTTTTAAAGTATTTTAATATCTTGGGTTTATTTAATGCTAATTTCAATTAATTTTCTACCACTGATCGAGTTTTCTTCTTATGAAGTAACAGCTAATATTGACAATTAACATTTTATAGTATAATTTGAGATCTGAAAGAGGGCTGCATCAGTTTCACTTTTTTCTTGGATTGCTTTTTTAATGTTTTTGTTGACTGTTCCATATACATTTTATTATTATTTTGTCTAATTCTAACAAGTGGCCAATTGGTGTTTTGATTCTGTGGCACCGAATCTACAAATTATTTTGAGAATTGATATTTTTAGTATAGTGTCTCAAATAACCAATATATATGGAATATCCTTCTATTAACTAAATAAATTTTTATCTGTCAAAATTTTAAATTGTTTTCATAAAAATCTGACTTTTATTTTAGTTAGAGAGATGAGATAGACCTATGATTTCTTCTATATAGGGAACTCTCAGAGCAGTAATTCCCTCAAAATTGCCTGGAGCAATGAGAGTTTAAGTGACTTGCTTAAGTCCAACACAATTTATGCCAAATAGTGGATATATTGGAACATTACTGTAAATGATACTTCTCTTTTCATCAACTTTCTTGATCTCTTTATGTAGTTAAAGCCACAAAAATAATCTTATCTTTCTAACATTATTACCCTCAATTTTTTTATTAACAATTATATCATCTATAAATAAGATATTTTGTTGTCTTTACCAATATCCATTTTTTTTAACCTAGCTGCTATAAGCAAGTTAAATACGGTAGTGAAGACAGAAGATAGTCCTGCTTCACAAAGCCAGTTTAGTGAAAATGGCTCCAATGTTTCCCTATTGCATAAAATACCAGGACGGGGCTTCAAACAAGTATGTGTGGGTGTGTGTGTGTGTTATTAAGGGGGAAAAGTACTTCAGTTCCTGAACTTTTTAGTGCTGATAGCAAAAATGTATATTGTGCTGTTCTTTTTTTTATGGTGGTAAAGAACTAGAAACTGAGAGGATGCCTGATAATTAGGCAATGGCTGAACAAGTTATGGTGTATGAATATGATGTAATATTATTGTGCTCTAAGAAATGATGAAGGGCACGGGTTCAGAAAAACCCGGAAAGACTTGTATGAATCAATAGAAAGTGAAGTGAGCAGAACCAGCAAAATAATTTATACAATAACAGCAAAACTGTAAAGATAAGCAACTTGTAAAGACTTAATAACTCTGATCAATACAATAACCCAACTGCAATTCCAAAGCAATCATGGTGAAGCATGCTTTCTACCTCCAGATAGAGAGCTGATGGACGCAATGCAGATTAAAGCATATTTTCTTCTCTTTCTCCTTTTTTTTTCTTTTTTTTTGGTGGGACAGGGATGCGGCTAATTGAAGAGTTCCATTTGCACATCCATACACCTTTGTAAAGAGTTTTGTTTTTCTCGCTTTCCCAGTGGACGGGGAGAAAGGGGAAGTGGGAGGGAATTTGTCAAAGAATGCTGTATTTTATCAAATCTTTTTCTGCCTCTATTAATATAATTGTTTTTAATAATTTTTACTGATGATTGTACTTTTTCTCCTGATAATAAACTACCTTTATATTCATAATATGGAGCGTAGTAGAACATAATGAATAATATTCTGGATATTATTTACTGACATTTTATTTAACTATAAAAATGATACCGCAGGTGTTGGCCAAAAAATTAATAACGTTAGCAATCAGTTTTCTTATTCTGAATTATGCCAGGTCTAGAAATATGAAATATTGCTATATTAGGTAGAATTCCATCTTTTGTTGAAGACAGTTTATATAATATACCTACTACTTCTTTGATGGTGTGAGGGAATTCATTTGCAAATTAATTTGGTTTAAGTACCATTTGATACGGTAGATCATTAATGGTTTGTGACTTCTTCTGATAGTGGTTTGTTTTCTGTTGCAACAATTTGGTTATTCTCTATTTTTGTAGACATTCACCCATTTCTCCACCTCAATGGCACAAAGAGTAGATTGAAATCTCTAGTTTTCTTAAGTTCTTTACATTCATTATGAGATTCTCTTTCTCATCTTTTATTTTAGTAACTTAAGTCCTCTCTCTTTTCTTGAATAAACTTATCTGTTAATCAATTTTTGCCATAGTATATATTAAAAATTTATGTGTTCTTATTACCTATGTTACCTTTAAGCATTATGTAATTTCCTTGTTTAGCGTTATTAATGCTTTCTGATTTAAATTCAATTTTGTCAGATATTACTGGAATTCCAGATTTTAAGATTACATATCTGTTAGAAATTACTACAATTCTAGATTCCCTGAAGAATATATAGTACTTATTCTTTTTTTTATTCTTTTTTTTTACCATTTGTCTCATCTTTAAAAATATACAATTATCAGTAAGAAAGATAAATCTTAGTTATCTCTTCAATTTAAACGTGTTTTCTATAAGCAACATATTAATGGATTCTGTTTTTTAAGCCATCCTCTATCTTTTTCTTTCTACAGGAAAATTCAATCCATTTAAAGATATAATTGTCAAGTTTTATTTGTCTTCTGCTATTCTCAGTTAAAATTATTCTTTTTGTCAGAAGACAGTGCAAACTTTCTTATTTCTATTTTTCCCTTAACTGCACCTAAAACACTAAGAAATTTTCATGATTATATACACATAAGGATTTCTGAAATTCTGCCTTTTTCAAAAATAGTTTTTTCTTTCAATTGTATTAGTCCTTCCCCTCGCTCACTAGAGTTCTCTTTTGCTCAGGGGTCTTTTTTGTTACATTCCTTTTTATCCTTTTTATTATCCTGCTCTCTCCTTTTTTTCAACACTGGGCCTTGAACCAATTAAATGGCTAAATTCACTACCAATATGGTGGCTCTTAGCAGCTCAGGTAGGTGGTGGCAGGAGCCAGGAATGGGAAGAACAGAACCCTGAGAGAAAGGACATAATGAGTCAACTTAAGTTTACAAGTTTTTAAGAAGGAGGAAGGAATAAGCATTTATATAGCAACAACTAATTGCCAGGCACTGTGCTAAGCACTTTACAAATATTACTTCATTTGATCTTCCCAACAGCTGTGCAAGGTAGGTGCTATTATGATCCTCACTTTATAGTTGAGGAAAATGAGGCAAATGTAGGTTAAGTGACTTGTCCAAGATCACACAGCTAGCAAGCATCTGAGGATGGATTTGAACTCAAATCTTCATTGCTCCAGGCCCAGCACTCTATCTACCAGCACCTGTTTATGAAAGACTTTTTTGTTTGTAAAAGTTCTGTGGACTAGTTAAAGTTTTTCATGGACTAGTTCTGGCAAACACAGGTCCAGGATAAATGTCTGAGTAAACGTTTCCTTACTTGGCTATTATTAACTAGGTCACATTGTCCTAAGGTTACTGTTATGTCCATATAACCAATCAGTGCTTCCTTGTTAAAAAGAATTAAAAACACAGTAGTAGTTCCCACTATTGCTTCCTCAGCCTCCTAAGAGAATAAATAGTCAGGAAGGCAGATCAAGAATTTACGAGATAGGGCCAGCTAGGTGGCGCAGTGGATAGAGTACCAGTGCTGGAGTGAGGAGGCCTTCAGTTCAAATCCGGCCTCAGACACTTCACACTTACTAGCTGTATGACCCTGGGCAAGTCACTTAATCCCACTGCCTAGCAAAAAAAACAAAAACAAAAACAAAAGAATTTATCAGCTAAGTCTAGTTTTAGCAGAATGTAACTTCCAGAAGATATCTAGATAGCTAAAGTTCCCCCATCATTATTTTATCTTACACCTTGATAACCAATCTTTAGGAAACCATCATACAGATCCATCATCTAAGCATTTTGCTGTGTATTATTAGAATACTATTGTTTCTCTTTTTCTCCTTTTGCATTCTTTCCAAAATTCTCTATCCTCAAGTCTTACACTTATTCTTGAAATGCTGTGGCATCTCTAAACAATTCTATTAGCTTTGTTTGATCCTATCACCTGAGGTTCCCAAAGAGATATTTCCATGACCTCAGTGTCTGTCTGTGTCTCTTCCCCAATTCACTGGTCAGCAAAAAGGTGAATGGGAAAGTGTGTGTGTGTGTGCCTGTGTGTCTGTCTGTGTGTCTGTCTTTTCCCATGGAATCTCATGTCCTAGGCAGGGTAGCCTTTTTTTCAGTGTAGGAAACAGCTGAGAAGATACAGTTTTACAAAAACAGCTACAATTATTTTCTGATACGACATATTTTTCTAAGCCTCAACTCTATTCTGTGTTTGAGAACTCAGGAATTGTAATAAATATTGCTCTGAGTAAATTACAATACTTAATCTTAATTTTCAATATGTTTGCATCATTTCTCCCTTAGTTTGTTCACCTATGAAGTTATTTCAATAATGTTTATACATTAGGTGATGTGGCATGGAGAATAAAATGTTGGGTTAGGAGAAAGGAAGGTCTGGGTTCAAATCCTGTCTTTGACACTTACTAGTTATCTGATCCTAGACAAGTCATTTAATTTCTAGGTAAGCTCCCTAAGACCTATACTTAGTTACTGCCCAGATTTCCTTGTTATTTTTGAAAAAAATTTTGTTAAGAAATAACTATAACTTTGAACATTGACATTTCACTTAAAAGAAGATTGAATGTTTCAAATTATGTATTTAACAGTCCATAAGAAGAAAAATATGTAGCAATATCAAGAATGTGAGCCAAGATGTGCCACCATTTTCTGACTGTGGTTACTTGAATTTTACATTTGATATTAAGCATTACCAGAGAAGTTACAAACTTAAATGACCCTTGAAAATATGTATTATTCAATCCCCCTCACCATTAGTCTCACCTTAAAAGTATGTATATCAGTGTAGCAATGAAAGTGAAACTGATCACAACGGCCACAAGGACTTGGTCACTTATTCCTTCTATAACTGAATCATCCAGTTTCAGACTCTGAATTCCGGATTGATATCTGTCCATTCCAGTTCTACATATTCAAAAAAGAAAAGCCACAAATCAAGGAATGCTCTAAAACTGAAATAGAGTTAATTTTAAAACATACATAAGCAGGCAACTGAGTTTTACTATGTTTTTTTTTAATGTAGCAACAGACTTATACTTTATAACTTAAGAAAAGCAACAGTTAGTGTTTCAGTGTGAATTCCTTCCTAAATTTCTTAGAATTGGCCAAAATTATCTTAACAATCATACTCACTTCTATGGAATTTGAGCAATTTATATTTTGGTTATTGTTTCTAACTATCATAAGGGAGGGGTTTGTTTTGCTTGTTATCTTCTGATAAATGAAGAAACAAATATTGGCAAGTTGGTTCTAAATCACAACCATGAAATGCTAGCTCTTAGAAAGAGGAGTTTGTTTAACCATCCAGAGCACTCCAATAGGGCAAATCTGCCATTACTACTCTTTGAAGTAAAGGACAATCTCTCTCTGTCTCTCTCTTTCTGTGTCCCTCCTACCAATATCCAAAATTCTCCTGCAAATCTCTGACTCCCACTTGGTATTTCATTCTTCCACAGTCTTGGGGGAGATGGGGAACAATGGAAAAGGGCACTGCTTTGGAGGCAGAGCACCTGGGTTTAAATTCCATCTCTGATAATTAGTCTATGTGACCATGGATAAATTACTGAGGTCCTTTCTAGGTTTAGGAGCTATAATTCCACAGTTCCCAATTTCCTGCTTATGCCATAGTCAAACAATCATACAGTGCCCCAACACAGAAATTAGATGAATACAAAATACTGGCCTAGATAACATACCCAAAGTGAAAAAAATGAGAATGAACATACAAATCTTTGTTGGTTCTTCAAGGTTCTACTTAGTCTTTTGGTTACAATGGGGCACCTATTTGCAGCAAATCAACTGGCCTCCATCAACAATCAGTGAATCAAGAATTCATTATACTACCACTTTTGTTCTCTCTAATGACTTATTCATTTAACAAATGGCAGCAGTACTAAGTGGGGATTGTAAGCATATCAAATAGCATTTTGTCATGCTGATTAGCATGGTAAATATTCTTGTATTTTCTTATTGTTTCCAAGATTACAAGCCCCTTAGGACAGTACCTTCTACATAGTAGGCCTTATGAATTAATGTGAAGACTACTTGAGTTCTTAAAACACCTCAGTCCTATACTTCCTTACCTTAAAGAATGAAGTTAAATAATTATAAACATTAACTGGTTGAAAGACATATATTAAGTAGGAAGTCTTACAAGTGGCAGTCTAAGCATATGCTAGGCATGAATAGATTAAGTTGTCTTGGTGGGATCCATTAGCACAGATATATCAAATCCTTGGTTTGCTACCACACAGCACAAAGTGCCAGTCTGTCTCTGGTTTGGCCACAGAAGTAATGAAATCAGCTATTACCCTTTTTAGTTATTTAATTCATAGGAAGACAGTCTTATTTTTTTGAAAAATAATGAAAAAACTGTTAACTTTTCCATTCTTTTACCTCATTACCATCCTTAAGAATTTTCTACATGACAACTCTTAAAATAATTAAAAGTTATCTTTCAACAACTATCATCCTTTACTCTCCTTCCCAGTTTCTTTCTTCTCCAGGTTAAGCATCTATCTCTACTTCCTTCAACCAATTTGCATGTGGCATTATTTCAAATGCCCTCATCTTTCTCAATGCCTTTTTGGGGGCACACTCCTACTTACAAATCACCTTGCACAAAGAAGCCTGGTATTCTGAATGCCTATGATCAATCTCAGACTTTGTTTCTTCCTGCCATAGGCGGTCTGTTGGAAGCAGAATGTTAAAAGAAAGGCTTAGAGAAACACAGCAGGAAGTTACCAACTGGCTGTAATATTCCTGTGTAGTAATCACTAAGAAATCAACAGTGTGGGAGAGGAAGCTAAGCTTGTTACTTATTGGGGGAGCTCAAAAGAAGAATGAGAGGCTTCCTCAGGAAGAAAAGCATTGTGAGGACACTGGTGTGAAAAGGTGGCCAGAGAGATGGTTCAAACAGTGCCCCCCCTAGTATATAAAACAAATGGAATATAGATGATCACTAAAATTTGAAATTGTATTAATAAAAGACAGCTGGACAAGAGGAAAGGATTATTTTACTCTAACAAAATTATGAGCTATATTTGTTATACAAATTTTAAACACTGACTTACTTGTTACATAGTTTGATGATGATCAGGAAAAAGAAATATATTCTTTGGGACACCTATGAGTAGGGAGACCCATTGGAAAGCTGCTAGTTCTACCTTGAAACCTAACCCATATAGTTCAGAAGTCTTTGCAAACCCTTGAGCAGGGAACCTTTCAACATATTACATGTATTTCTTTTCGAGAGGAAAAATGGAAGACAGGAAGAAGGCAAATATTACACACCCCTACCTGAGGAAAAGCTGTGATACTGAAATTCTGAGATATGAGGAGAAGCTTGGAGATCACTTAACCTAACAACATCAGAAAATGAACACTATAGGTACTCTTACTTTATTTCAAGTGGAAAAATAGAAAATTGTTAAAGTAGATTCCTCAGACCCAAGAGCAGAGGAATAATAAAAGAAGAAAGTACCAGACCACTTAGAGGAAATGGAGTTTACAAAGTTAAATAAACAACCAAAATAATGTTTTGCATTCATGAGTTATCTTTTATTGAAAAAAAAGTATTGACTAATATTTTTCCCAGATAAATGTGTCTGTTGCAGGAACATGGGAACATAAAGGAGACCTTAGAGATGGTCTAGCTAATCTAGCCTTTTCATTTTACAAATGAGGAATCAGCAAGGTTAACTGATTTACCCAAGGTTGGTTAGTAAACAGATCATGACTAAATTCACTGCTCTTTCTACTAGTCAAGTCAAGCCAATAAACATTTATTAAACATCTGTATATATGCTAAGCAGTGTGACAAGTGCTTCAGATACAAAGAAAGGCAAAAGAAAGTCTTTCTTTTAAGGAGCTCAAAATCTAACGGCAGGGGTGGGGGGTAGGGAGGAAGATAAGCAACTATGCAAAGCCAAGATATATACAGATATAAAGTGGAGAAAATTAATAGATGGAAGGCAATAGCATTAAGGGAGGCAAAGACAGGCTTATTGCAGAAGGTGTGACGTTAGCTGGGACTTGAAGCCAGGAGGTGGAGATGAGGAGGGATATTCTGATTCATTGGGAGCTAATGAAAGGTTTCAAATATTTATTATGAAACTACTGAAGAGGACATTTAAAGAAATTGATCTAATCTCAACATATCAATTCAAAAGAAGAGTCAAATGAATTCAGAAGGAAAAAATAGTAACAAATAGGCCTTACAAAAGTTGCAAGTGGAGTGCAAAGCTAACTTCAACTTTATAGGAGTTGATGAAAATGCTACATTTCCATCAAAATTTAGTACAAAAAATACTAAATATATTTGCTCCAAATGCCAAAATCCATATCCTCTACACTTTGGAATCCCCAGTTTTATTGGGTGGGAGGGTCTATTTATCATTTCTCAGTACTGAGGGGGTAAGGAAAAAGTATGTCTTTGAATGTGCTGATAGTGAACTCATATGATAATAGAATTTAGAATCTGAGGTCATTGCAGATTACCTACTCCAATCTCCTTATTAAACAGTGAAGAAACTCCCAAATATCTAGAAATTCTCTGTTTAGAGAAAGGAGGAAAATTTCCTCAGTCTTTGAGTAGGACTACTTATGGCCTTGCTGCTAAAGTTCCTCCCCCATGTGCATACTAGAAAATTAAAGACGGCATGGTAATATCAATTGAAATATGCCAGGTCCCCAGTAGACAAAGGGTCAAAAGATATAAACAAGCAGTTTTCAAAAGAAAAAATTAAAGGGATCAACAATCATAAAAAAAGAATGCTTCAAATCACTGATAATAAAATAAATGCAAATTAAAAGAACTCTTAGGTTTCTTCACACATCCAAATTGGCAAAAAGATGAAAATGGTCAATGCTAGAAACACTGTGAGAACAACAGATATATTCATGCACTGTTGGTGGAGCTGTAAACTGATCAAATCATTCTTGTAGGAAACTATTTGGAAATATGTTTTTAAAATATCTTACCTATATTATAAAAAGATTCCTCTTGATCAAGAGCTACTACTAATAGACTTATACCCCAGGGAGGTCAAAGACAGAAGCAAGGTCCTATATAGACAATATATATATATTTACATATATATATATATTGCAGCACTTTTTGCAGCATTAAAGAACTAGAAGGAATGTAGGCATCCATCAAACATGGGATGACTGAATAAGTTGAATATATGAATGTAAGAGACAATTATTATGCCATGTAGAACAACATATATGAAGAATTCAGAGAAACCTGGAATCATTTGTATAAACTGATCCACAACAAAATGAGAACCAGGAGAATAATTTATACAATGATAACAATAATGTAAAGGAAAAACAATACTGGAAGTCTTTAGGGCTTTGATCAATATAATGACTAATTATCACTTCAGAGGACTTCTAGTGAAGGATATTACTTGCCTTTCATCAAACAGGCACTGGAATATAGAGAGTGGAATGAAGGATATAATATTGGGTTTGGATGATATGTTGATTTTTGTAAGGGAGGGTTTTGGGGTAGGCTTAAAAGTGCTTTATTTTAGATAACCTACATGACATTTTTTAAAATGCCCCCCCTCCAAATAAATCAAGGCAAAAAATAAATGATTAAAGCTCAACATAGCATCAGTCCAAGTTTTTCCAAGTCCTGGTGTTATATGAGAAGACAAAAAGCAGCAGCCAGTTATTATGGTAAGGTAATCCAAAGTAATTAGCTGAATTTGTCAACATTTCTCCATTTGAAAGCCATCCTTAAAGAAAATCATGAATGGGGCAACACTATCCTTATGTAAGTCCAACAGAGCCACCATGCCATTTAGATTCATGTTTTCACCTATAAAGTACTGATAGTTTTTAAAATCAGCAAGGATATTTCTGATTTGTTCTACAGCTCCTATCATAAAAGA